TACTCTAATTTTACAAGTTTATAGGTAGTTTTATAGATATTATTTAAGATGCACTTTAGATAAAAAGTTACAAATAATTTTGCCCCTCTACAAACAAAACGAATTTATTACTGAGCTCCATATTTATTCGTCTTTTATATGAGTTATGAGTAGGGGTGTTCAAAGCCAGCCCGTCTTAGTCCTAATCTTATCAAGATGAGAGGGGACAAAAATGGGACCGACACGAGAGGTGTTTGTCCTAGTTACATTTCAATAGTACTATTTTTTTTAATTTTTTTATTATATTATAATTGTTGTTAAGAAGTTGAGTGGATATCATAAACGACATTTAAGGCATGTGTAATACACAATATTTATATTTATAGCTTTCAGCACATAAGTAGTTGAATGATCATTATTTATTTAGAGCTTTCATAGTTGCTGATGATTTCTAGAATGGTGAAAATGAACTTTCGAGTTATTATGTTATCGATTTTTATTTATTTAGACTTTTGTTTAAGAGGGCTAAGGCAAAAGAAATAAAAAAGAGAGTAAAATATATTAGTCTTCTCTCTATTTAACCTAAATTATAAAGACTTTCCTTAAAATCAAAATATATATTGCACAAATATCTTTTCTAATTTTGAGATTCAACTTTCATTCACCTATTGTTAGTTGACTGTTCAATAATAAGGTTGACCCATCATTTTGAACAAAATGCCCCTCGTTATTGCAAATATTGCTTAATAATGATCATTTAATCACATATGATATATTTTTATTTAAAATTAAAAAATAATTGTAATACATATTTTAATTTTTTTGTTACATTATTAAATCAATGACCATATTATAAATTTAATTAATTTTGCAAATATAATTTTTATTTTATAATAAATTTAAATGTTTAACATTGTTTATTTATTAAAACTTACTTGTGACGTAATTTTCTAAATATATATATTAGCTGACAATATTTTGTAATTATATATATGTATTTTTAATTAAATTATAAATTTATGTCTTAATTTAGTAAATTTAGTAAAAATATTAAATAGATCATTAATAAATATTAATATTAAAAGATAAATTAGAGATGTAATATAATAAGGGTAAAGTAGTAAAGAAGATTTATTTTAGTATTTTTTAATTAAAAAGTATACTCAAAAAATCTTTTTTTTAAGAATATTCTCCGATGGTATTAATGGTTTGGAGTAAAATATATATTATCAAAATAGAAAGGAGGTCTATGTAATCAAAACAAAACAAAATGGTAGTGAGGGTATTTTCCTCAAAGAGAAAACAAAAAGATATTTTTAGAAGGGTTAGGGCCAAAGGACTGTAAATAAAAACAAAAGCAAAGAAAATGAATTCCAATAGGTCCAACCATAAAACAAAAAAAAAAGTTTTACCAAAACAACAAAACAGGATGTCTTGGTATCGGGATAACATATGGGACAAATTGTTTGCTCTATCCCTTCTTGTGAATATCACAAACTCTCAATTTGAGAAGGGGGAGAGAGGAGGAAAAAAGATAGGAAAATGACAATTTTTTAGGGAGAATTATAATCAAATCCTAAGAAAGGAAAATAAACACTAAAAAAAATCTCAATAACAATCTAAATAACTAAGCAATGGAAGCAACTTGTATTTTTTTATTTTTATAAAAGCTGGATATTGTCTGATCAAAGTACAACAATATTAAAGCCTAAATAGCTAACCAGGACTAAAAAAAAACAACTCCTCATCCTCCATCCTCCTGCAAAACACAAGGAGGGGGTTGGTCAAAAGTTTTGTAGCTTCCTTCCATCTCATGCACAGCTCTTGCTAAGTGATCTATAGTAGATAACTCCTCCCGATCTCTGTGGCTTATTAAGACCTACCAATCCCTACAAAGCAGCATACGGGCTTCCTCTACTACATCATGATACGGGTGGTTGTTGTCACATCCTCGGACAATGAAATTGAGTGCCTCCATACAATCTGATAGCAGATGAATTCTCCTAAAGCCCTTGGTTGAATTGAGGTAACACTAATAAGTTTTGCAATAGTGGGTGGGACTTTTGAGAGTTTACAGCTGAAACCCACAATCCAATTCCCATTTCTATTCGTGATCACCCCTCCACAACCATTATTCTTATTGTTGAGGACTAATCCGTCTATCTCCACAACAATAAATCCTTTAGGTTTCCTCTGATAAGCTGGACCCCTTAAATATCTATTGTTCAGTTTATCACATTTTCTATTGAGGTCAAAATCTAAGCAGGCTCTAAAGAAACTTGCTTCGACATTGTTGTGCTCATAGTTTCCTTCCTCCCTAAATAGCTTCCGGCATCTAAATGTCCATATGTCCCAACAGACATAGCCAAACAGACTGCTCCATTGGACTTTGCGAGTGAACTCCAATCTAGCTTCCTTTTGTAGGTTCCATTCTAGCCATTGTGCACCCTGCAAAGAAAAGAATTCTACCCATAGGGAGGGCAATAATACTGATCTCCATCTTTCTCTTGCATTCGTATAGTCTCGAAGCAGATGCATAACATCTTCCTCCTCCTCACAATCGAATGGGCATGTTGTTGAGTCCCTAATTCCTCTCTTGTTCCTTAAATGGCTTGTGTGTAATTTGTCACGGCAGAACAGCCACATGAAAGACTTGATCCTTTATAGTATTCTCCAGCTCCATAGCCACTTCCATATGCTATCCTCCCTCCTTTGAGTACCTATACAGAGAAACAAATATGTAGATTTAACATAATACTAGAATACAAACCATTTATCAAACCAGAAGGAAGATTTCCTTCTATTTCCTATCTTCATTCCTAGGCTAGTAGTGAAACGATTCCATACTTTGCATATGCTTCTCCACGTGAGGGATGAGTTCTTTCTTTTGTTGTCATGCAATATCTCATCCTATTTTTTCTCTTTTTCTCTATCTCATTTATTAGTTTTTTGGATAGGAGCATTGTTTGCACATGATAGGAAGGTAGTGCTACCATCACCGATTTAACTAGTACTAGCCTCCCTGAAATATTAAGATATTTCCTCTTCCACCCAGCTAATCTACTATTTGTTTTCCCCAAAATGGGAGTAAATAACCAGTAGGAGGCTCTTTTGTGGATGAGAGGGATGCCCAGGTATCTTCCTAAGTCTCCTGTGATTCCCACTCCCATTTTTTGGCTCAGAGAGATAGCCCTCGAGAAGTGAAAATTTCTTGAGAAGCAAATCTTCTTTTTTCCTTTGTTCATTTACTGTCTAGAAGCTCCACAAAAAATGTCAAGACATTTCATCATCACATCAATCTGTAGCTCCGAAGCTTCACCAAATAGGATTAGATCATCAGCAAAGAATAGGTGGGACAATAGTGGCCCTCTCCTACTAATTTTCATCGGTTTCCCCTCACCTTCTCTTATCAAGTCTGTGATTAAGTGGTTGAGTCGCTCTATACAAAGGTTAAAAATTAAGAGGATATTAGGTCCCCTTGTCGGATCCCTCGAGTACCCTTAACTTGTTGCATGGGAGCTCCATTCCATAGATCTTTATACAAAGGACTTGTAATGCAAGCCATAATAATATTACAGAGTGAAGCTTGTAAGCCCACAGCTACTAAGGTATCGTTGATAAAGCCCCACTCTAGTCTGTCATATGCTTTTTCTAGATCAACCTTCACTGCCAACCAACCCCTCGAACCTTTTTTCTTTTTCATTGAATAGATAACTTCTTGGGCTATGATAATATTATCGCTTCTCTGTCTTCCATTTATGAAGCTACATTGATGGTTACCCACCAACTTACCCATCATGTGCTTGAGTCTTTAGCTAATAATCTTAGTGATCGCCCCATTTTAGCCAAGTATTCCTGGAGTTTTGGAATCACATCAGCTCCTCTTGGGCCAAAATTTTATTATATTTATTCCAAAGTTCTTGCTCTAATTGCCAAAGGTGTTGAGAGTCCCTTCTTCCTCTTGCTCTTCCTATTTTTTCAATCCTATTTAGCAGATTTGTTCTTCTTGCTTTGTAGTTTCCTATTCTCTTTTTATTCCACAAAGTAGCTTCATGCATGAATGAATTGATCTGTTCAGCCTAATTTCTAGTAAACCAGCACTTTTGGATAATATCCACAAAATCACTCTCTAGAACCCACGCTGCTTGGCATCTGAATGGTGGAGCTATTTTCCCCCTGTTTTGTTCAGGTCCACTTTTTAGTAGTAAGGCTCTGTGGGCTGAGCCAAACTTGTTCAAAGTGTAAACTTTGGTTAATGGGAAGAGGTGTAGCCAATCAATATTAGCAAAAGCCCAGTTAAATTTTTCCATGAGCAAACCTCTTTCCCAAGTGAACTTCTCCCTAACACTTTCCACTTCCACTAATCGTTTCTTGTATGCATTCTTCAAATTGTTTCATGGACGAAATGCTGATATTTGCCTCGCCTCTTTTGTCCTCATATCATTGATAAGCATTGAAATCGCCCAGTACAAGCCACGGTTCATCCACATTTCTACTCAAGTCTATAGGGTCTAACCAAAGTTGTCTCCTCGTATTACTACAAGGTTCAGCATAAATGCAAGAAAGCAGGGTCAAACAGTTCTGAATTTTATTTTCCACGTTGACATGTAGTAATTGGGTTGTGGAAGTAAGTAGCTCCACTCTATTTTCTTCTTCATTCCACAATACCCAAATACCTCTTGCGTAACCCGTGGACTCCAAGTGTATCCAGTTATTGAATCCCAGTTGCCTTATAATTCTATCAACCTTTTCCCAACTGACTTGTGTTTCAATCAGGATAAGCAGATCAATCTTCTTTCCTCTGGTTAAGTCACCCACTTTATGGGAAGGTTTTGGAGGCAGTTCCTCTACAGTTCCAAGCAATAATATTCATAATACATCAAATGATAAAAAAAACAAACCCACACCTCCTTAGTGGGAGTCGAGGCTTGCTACCAAGTCGTTCATGGCAACTTGTATTTTTTTCCTTCTTCTGGACCGTAATTCTCCCAATTTTTCAACCCCCCGGGGGGTCCTCCTGGCAACCAAACACATCCACCCCTCTTTTTTCCTCTCCCCTTCGCTCTCATGACCTTGTTCGACGCTCGTCTTGTCTCTTCCCCACTCTTTTGACTCTGTAGTACACATTCAGGGAGCTGTATTTAAAATCAAAGGGGAGTATTAACTTCAAACTTTTGACGAAGTAGAAGCAGAATCAACGAAAATCTCCATGGCGGGCTCGTCGGATCCCTCACCTTCTCCCAAGATCCTTTTGGCAAAGCCTGGTCTAGTCAGCGGTGGACCTGTTGCCACGAAATTCGGCCGTGGCAGCAGCGGCGTCGAAGACGAATCGGCGCAGTTCCGCTCTCGTCTTCCTTCAGTGGCTTCCCTAAACCTTCTCTCTGACTCCTGGGAGTTCCATATTGATCGCTTTTTGCCTGTAATCTCTGGTCATCTTTTGTTTTCTCCGATATTTATATTCTATGGTCATTCTTTTGCTTCATTGAAGGAAGAAAGTGAAAAATATGGTCTACTTGGTTGCGTGCTATGTGAAATAACGGCCGACGATTAGATTTAAGGTTAAATGGAACCTTGTTGGAGTGGAATACCGGCTATGGTCTGTAGTTGAAGTTGTTGGATTTTCTGTTTGTCGATATCTGTTTGATCATTTTCAGTGCTTAAATCTGTTTTACTTTCTTGCTTATTTGCGTGGCCTGATATATGTTGAATGCTGGAATGAATATTTTTCTGCCACTATTCCGTAAAAACGGGAAAATAGCTTGCCGTTCTCATTTAGCATTCGTAATACTGTATTTTATATTTTTTTAGGATAATGACAATGACATTTACAATTGGGTTAACCTTCGTCTGTCCGTGGTCTGCAAAACGGGAATTGGGCTGGCCATTTTTTTTAGGATAATGTTATATTGAGTGTGTGTATGTGTTTATAAATCTTGAATTTGAATTTCCAATGTGTTGACATTTACTATTGTGCATTTCCTGCCAATATACATTTGAGCATAGCCAATGAGGTGAAAATTAGTTGTAGTGAGTTGTTTTGAATGTTGCAGTTTCTAACAGAGAATACGGACTTTACCGTGGTTGGAGTGATTGGACCACCCGGGGTCGGCAAGTCAACAATTATGAATGAACTCTATGGGTTTGATTCGAGTTCACCTGGTGAGTCATTTGTGTCATCTGCCTGGTCTGACCATAGAGTTAGAACATTAACTATTAAGTGAATTGGTGGACTGCAATGCTTAAGCCCTTTTATATTTCAAAAAATTGTCCATTTTGTCTTCTCCACTCCAAGGCAAATAGTTCGAACTATAGATTGTTAGGACCAAAATGCTCACTCCTATTAGCAAAACTGTCTAATTGACTAATGGAGCTCCTCCGTGTCGGAGAAAATGTGCCACAACATTGCTCCACTGTGTATGTGGCATATGATCAAGCAAATAAGAAAAGTAAAAACTTTTTAACCCACACCCCCCCAATCTGTTTCTTCTCTTTTAGTTATTATTATTGTTATTTCTCATGGGATTAAAGATTAGGGCTGTTATTAAAAAGAGGTTTTGTCTCAGTTTTGTGGGTTTCCGAATCTGAGTCTTTATTGTTTGTCCCAATTGATCTAAAACAAGTTTATGTCAGTTTAGTTTGGTGCTTGGCTCAATTTGAATCTCAACTGTCTGAATGAGAATCAAGTTGGGTTGGATAGAGAAATCATAACCTCTGTCAAAAATAGGATTGTCACCTGGCAGTGAGACACTATGCTTTGGAAAGTTAACGTATATATTTTGCCAGAGAAAAGCTAATATCAGTAACAGCATATTTCAAAAACAAAAAGAAAAATATGTGCTTGAAGATGATAGGTTCCCTGTAACATTTACTCCCTACATTATCAAAAAGATAAGGCACAAGTCCATTAATGCATGCAGATCAATGAACACCATTAAAAGTAGTTGGTGCCTGAAAAATTCTTTTAATTTCCCATTTATTTTCTCCACATTGCTCCACATGTACGGGAAAATGTCAAGGTAGGATTGGCTTAGTAGTTTTGTGTATTTATCAAGGGTATTTTTAGAAAGATATCACATATTCATATTGATGGAGACTTGGTAATATGGGATAGTAAGTTTCACATTGAGTAGTGTGGGATGCTCAATAGAGTATTTAGGTAGACTAGTTTTCCTATCTCAACAATTAGCTTTTGGGGTAGGTTACCCATCCCACTTAGTTACCTTGCACATGGATTTTTGCACTGTGCCTTATATTAACAAATAATCTTCCCAAATTGTGCCTTATATTTGATAACGGAGGGAATATTACCTTTTGGGTCATTTGTTCTTCTATTAAACGTCTTGTGTGCAATATAAAAACAGAATGGCAGTGTGATGGGGACTTTTGGATATTAAAATCAGCATCGGTCAGAAATCGTCATGCGAAGCATGTGGAAATATTGTAGCTGAAATAATGAGAGTAGATTGAAAGGATTTGCTACTCAAAATGACCTGTCTGTCCCTTTATGTAGCGATTTTGTACCTTTATTTTCTGCCATGATTCTCTCATTTGTATAAGCGATGGATTTTACTGAGGAATTAGTCATACAATGTGTGGCTCCTAAGTTGAAGACTCAGAAGTCAGAGGAAACTTTGTTTGGTCCATTAAGGATAGAATTAGAGGCATATGAAGATTTTGAAGAGCTGGTTGAGAGCACAAAGGAACAACTACTTGTGGTAGATATTTTGTCCAATGTTCCCATAGATTCTTTAACTTTTCAATCGCCTCTTGAGCTGAAATGAGCAATTGTGGAGGCCTCTTCACTGTTAATGTTAGTCAGCTAGAATTATCAAAACCTAGCTCTATCTAGTTATGGCCTCACGAAGTCCAAAGGATACATTATAACTGCAAGATAATAGGAAACTTTAAAATGTATGATAATAGGGAAATCCTAGTAAAATAGTATGGATTTGACAGATAATTAAATTTATAAAATTGAAATATAATAAAATAATATACATAAAAAATAATAATTACCTGTCTTAATATATTTTTAATTGAATTAATCTTTTTGAAGTCGTATTTTCTATAATATACATCTATCTGTGTTAATTTACGAATATTTAATATTACTTTTCCTAATTTGTTTTAACCTCCAATAAAAAGACATCTCATTTGCATTAAAGTGCGATGCCATGAAAACATAGAACGTCAAATGTCATGAAATTAGTTAATCTGAAACTGGAAGGCAATTCCTTTTGTGAATGTGGCAATTGCATATGGTAACTTTGATGTCTATGCTTGCAGGGATGCTGCCACCTTTTTCCATAGAGTCCAATGATACTTCAGCAATGGCAAGGCATTGTTCTGTGGGCATTGAGCCAAGGATATCTTCTGAGCGTATTATTCTTCTTGATACCCAGGTATTTCACTGATTATCTTGTTTAGCCATTAAGTTGTGCCATTTTTCTTTTCCGTGGAAGCCATTTGTGTAGAGTTAACGCCTTCACACTCATATTTTGGAATTTGAAATCAGAATCAGATTGCTAATGATCCATTCAGATTATGATCTCAAAATGCATGTTATACCCATTTATAACCCTAAATCTAATTGACGTAGGATGATACAAACTGAGGAATTAAATAATGTTTATTTTGGAGGTTAGAAAATGAAGCCCCAAATGGTGGCTAAATTAGAAGCTTTAGATGGCTTAACTTATAGGATTTGCAGCAAGTGGAAGTTTTGCACACAGCGGCTTAATATTTATTTAGCTGTTTAATGACTTTTCTTCTGATGATACAGCATGAACTCAAGTAAAAATATCAAGAAGATAAAACCCAGTAGTTTTGAAGATGTAAATTATTTGAGACAGGAGTTGTTCATACTTGTCCCAATTTGGTTTAAAGGTTTGGTAACAAGGAGAACATAACATTGCGGTAATTATGTAGTTTTGCTTGGAAAGTAGTGCCCACGTCTTTAGGAACACATCATAGAATTAGGTAGAGGGCTGATGCATAACATTGGAGAGAACAGGGAAAAATTGGGAAAGAAGGAGAAGAAGGGAATTAGAGGAGAAGATAGAATAGAAAAGAGAGGAAGAGAGACGAGGGAGCTAGAGAAAATAAGGGAACACTATCCATTAGCCAAAGCATATTGCATTAGTCCCTAATCCTTTTATTTATAGCCATTGGCTACCTAACTAACTTGTAACTGACCTAAGTGCTAATATATATATATTTTAATTACATATCAATACCCCATCCAAAAGAGCCTTGTCCTTAAGGGTCAAGTACAAGGGATAGAAAAAGAATTGAAACCAAAGGAAGGCTTTGATCTGCTAGGAAAATTTGTTGACTGGGTAGGTGTAGAAACAAAGATGGTGGGTCTGCTTTTGATAGCAGAAGAATTAGGGTTTGTTGGGTCATCGATTGATTTTTCATAGGATGATGCCATTGCTGATATTTTGCTTTGATACCAAGAAAAAAAATTGAGAGATCTTGTTGCTTAGAGGATTTTTGAGCGCTATTGATGCTGTATATAATCAGTAAGATAAAATGAGAGTGAGGGACTTATCCTTTCTGAATTCCAGAATAGAAATACCCTTGTACATGTATATACAACAACAACAAAGCCTTGTCCCACTTGATGGGATTGGCTACATGGATCGCACGACGTTATTGAGCTCTATTCAAAGCCAAATCTTGGATATATTGTTAATTGAAAGATCTTGCTTAATAACTTCATTAAGTGGGTCTTTGGCCTTCCTCTACTCCTTTTTAGAGGAGTTTGTAATGCTTGATCAACTCTTCTCACTGGCGCATTTAAAGGCCTTCTTTGCATTTGACCAAACATCTCAAACGGTTTTATACCATTTTCTCATCAATAGCAGCCACTCTGACCTTTCTGCGTATATGTTCACTAAAAATCTTATCTTTTTTTTGTATGACCATACATCCATCTCAAACATTCTCATATCGGCTACTGCCATTTTATGTTCATGTTGTTCCTTTAAAGCCCAACATTCATTGCCATATAGCATTGCTGGTCTTATAGTAGTGTGATAAAACTTTTTTTGACCTTATTAGGTACTTTCCGATCACATATACTCCTGTTGCTTTTCTCCATTTAACTACTTAGCTTGAATTCTATATATCACCATCAATTTCACCATCTTTTGGATAATTGATTCCAAATATTTAACTTTTCCTACTTGTGAATGACTAATCTTCCAATGACCTCTAAATTTGTTCTAACTTTTCTCTTATAAAAAA